ATGGTTGCCCCGAAAAGGCTTTAGCAACACACCATTGCACAAAGGATCCTCTCTTTTCATATTGCTGTGCTATCTCCTCGTCTTCTGATGACCCTCAGCTATAAGCTTTGTTTTGTGCTTACCAGCTGTGGGTGAGCTGAGTTTTAGCGAATACCACCAGTCTCCCAGAAAAGTAGGCTGCAAGCTTCCCCTGAAAAGCAACCTCGTACATACTAATATGGTCATTGCCATGAACAAAAATGTTTGAAATCACCTTTTTCGGGCAGCGCCCTGTCGTCTGTTCCTCAGCCAGTGTCTCGATTTTTGTGCTGTTTTTACTTCCTAAACATTTCTCGGGCAAGAATACACAAACCTGAACAAAAGAGAAAAATTCAAGAAAAATAACCAATCGTCCAGTCACCACTCGTCACCGTAGCGGTGGAAGGAAGAAAGGGAGAAAATAATCCTGGACATTATTTGCGGAGCCCTCCGTAGGAGATGAGGCAAATGTGACACCCATGGCGCAAGGGGTCAGCATATCCCACAAGCCATCCACCACCATGGCATCGACAGTTTCGTCCCTCGGCCCAAAGATCATGCATCTGCGCAGGCCAAATCCCACGCGCAGACTGCCCCGCTTCGTACGTTGGGGAAACCAACAACTTCCATGAAAGAATGCGGCAGCTAACGAGTGACCTCCGTCAATGGAACAGTGAACGGAGCTCAATGGCAGAACACTGTTAGCAGTTTATACCCCCATAAGAGTCGCGATGGCGTCGTGTCGAGCTTGTTGCTTTTATACTGTTCCTGCATTGCTTAGGATGCACAAAGAGCGCGAAAGCTCATGTACGAGAAGACCCTGGGAAACGCCAGTGCTGTCAAGCTTCTTGCAGTGTGAACTGGACGAACTAAATGACGGGTGAGGGACCACTGAAAGCGCTTCCGCGCTTCTGCTTGAATAAAAAAAATATACAAAAATACCGACGTTGCTATGTCGTGTCAGCAGACGGAACTGCAGATGTGTTGGGATTTTCTATACAGAGACTTCAGAACTCAAAGATGTCATTGGAGCTTAATAGCCCTTAAAACTTCTGAGAGGTAATCGAATTCCTTGACCACATTACAGCTTGAACTGATTTGTTTTTGCGAGTGATAAAGCGTCACGTACGTGCGGAGCGTGTTTACCCCCTTCCTTTTTGAAATCTTACCGCTACAACTTTCAAGGTGGCCATAAATAACGCAGCCGCTGTTTAATTGATAGCGAATGACACGACATCAGCTGATGGTCTGTGTCGTCGCTACATATTAACAGAACATGAAATTCGTCGAGATGATTGATATGTGGGGTTTACCGTCCCAAAACCACCATATGATTATGAGAGACGCCGTTATGGAGGGCTCCGGAAATTTCGACCACCTGGGGTTCTTTAACGTGCACCCAAATCTGAGTACACGGGCCTACAACATTTCCGCCTCCATCGGAAATGCAGCCGCCGCAGCCGGGATTCGAACCCGCGACCTGCGGGTCAGCAGCCGAGTACCTTAGCCACTAGACCACCGCGGCGGGGCAAATTCGTCGAGATGGTGCATATATATAGCTACAGAGAAAATTTGAGCGCAAAACAATGTCTTCACAAGCACTCGTCCTGTCTCTCTCGTTCTTGTGAATACCTTGTTCGGCATTCGTACCTTTCCCAATCACCTCAGTTATTTATGGAAAAACGAAAGCGGCATTTGAAGACACAAGTGGTTCAGTGTAACAGAGAGAGAAGGGGCACTCGATGCTCGCGAATCGTGCTGCTTTGTCGTCTTTGAAGCTACATGAATGATTAAGCCGCTGTATTATACTCATTCTTCATTGATTAGATACATAACTGTAGATGAAACCAAATGTGGATCACGGTGTCAAGTAATAAAGGTGGTCCGGAGTTGCACTTGTGTGAGAACATGCTGTGCAGCCCACTCCCATGCCCTCGTCCAGCCTTGTTCATTTATTTCAAACATCTGCTAATTACACTAGAGAAACAATATTTCAACATCAATAATTATTTAGTTTTTCCGGTCTTTGGTATCTCGCTTCGCTATGCGTTCTTCTCTCCTCTAAAAAAAGATCACTCAAGTTTCTTAGCATGCATTAAAATGCATGCATTAACACTTGCATTGCCATAAATTACGGGTTTCACGGAAAGAGACTCCGAAATACTGTCTCGTTAGAAATGCAAATTAAAATTTTGAAATCATCTCTCCGCGTGCGGGGTTAGCTGTTTGACAAAATACACTGCAAAAAGTGCTTTGAATAGTTGTGCGTCTTGGAGGTACGTTGTATACATTGCATGGCATTTTATCGGCGTGGTACCATCAATGTTTCAATTATAATATATTAGCTTAGCTTAGAATCAGCTTTCTAGTGATGATGGTAATACTTTTTAATGTTATTATTTCACATAATCGGTCCATCATGTGACGCCATTTGATTAACGTTATATAGAAGTTAGAATAATTGTTATCCAGTAAACACTTTTTTTGGTTGTTCAAAGACATGAGTCGTGTTTATCGACGACCTCCCCAGGAACTAACTCCGGGGGTGGGGAGAAACGGAAAGTTTTATCATTTCAAAAGTAAATTCTTGGGCTTAGCCAGAGCATCAATAGGCTTACAAGGTACGTCATAGTGGTAGGTTTTAAATATTTGGAACCATAGGTCGTCCAAACAAATGGAGCCTATGTAGGCTCACTCTATATGTTTTTCGCTTAGACTCACTAGGACCCAGGCGTATTGAAATTCTTGATGATTGATTGATATGTGGGGTTTAACGTCCCAAAACCACTATATGATTATGAGAGACGCCGTAGTGGAGGGCTCCGGAAATTTCGACCACCTGGGGTTCTTTAACGTGCACCCAAATCTGAGTACACGGGCCTACAACATTTCCGCCTCCATCGGAAATGCAGCCGCCGCAGCCGGGATACGAACCCGCGCCATGCGGGTCAGCAGCCGAGTACCTTAGCCACTAGACCACCGCGGCGGGGCGTATTGAAATTCTTGCTGAATTGAACTCACTCGAACTTCGATTCATGAATAGGTCGTCAATCGCACTCACTGGGACTCATACTCACCCAAAATTTTCCGCAAGCAGGATTTCTCGGACTCACACTCACGAAGATATAGCTCAGCAGGACACACTCCTCAATCTGAGTAAGTCGACTCATAAGTGGGCTTGCCGACCTTGGCTCACATATAACACTTTGCCCTGTTTTTATTTTGTAAGCTTCACAAGTTTCACGTTCAATCATAATTCTTCATTTGCCAATGACATTCACCGATTTCAATGAAACTACTTTGTCATATGGCCGTGACTACAGAGATCAGACAGGTCGAGGCTTTAGTGACACCTAGACTGCATGAACACCCTTCAGGCACGAAACTTTCTTCTGCGCTGGTCTTTGCATACCCGATATATCAGTCAATGTCATTGTCAAGGTAAGAAATAAGATGGAACATGAAGATCTTGAAATATTCACAATAAAGATAAAATAAAATAACTGGGCAAAGTGTCATGTGTGTGTAAGTGATCCCTAAGTTTTCCTTACACCTACATAAGGAATTCGCATTGCTATAGATAGCGGGTGCACGTGGCTTTGACCATGGAAGTGGGCAGTTTATGCCAACGTTTATATAAGTTGGTTTGTACCACTTCAACATGCTCGCTTCGTGTTAGGCGTGCAACTGTAGAACGCCTCAGATTATCCTATTTTTTATGCATGTGCTGCTGGTTCGTGGGTGTGTGTGGACTTCCTGCAATAAATATTTCGTTGGAAGTTCTGTCTAATGGGATGAAACTAATGAGATCATGTTCTCATTAGTTTCTTCTTCCAAATATTATGAGCCAAGTCACCCCGCAAGCTACGTGAGTGATATCCTGTTTCAAACAAGGTAGCAACAAATCAGCATATAGAGTTAGTCAAATGAAGTCCGAGATAGTAACGGCCTAATGAGAGGCAGATTACCCGGTTTGATTGCGTGACGTGGAGCATCGCACAGAATGCATGCAAGACAAAGCACACAGGAAATACAAGCCCACACTTGAGTGTTTTGTCTGCATTCATCTTCTGTGCGTTACTTCACAGGAACTTAATTTATAGGGATCACCATATCTTGTCCAATATATATTGTCGACCTTGCTGAGCCTACCACCCTACAATGGAGATCGTTGCTATTTGCTAGAACATTTTTCTAATAATTGTCATTTTCCTTTCTTTATTCATTAAAGGCCATGCATGTGTGCAGTTTCTTAACTGTTTTATTCTAAATATGTCCTAAACATGCAGCTAGCTCTACCTCAATTAGGTTGGTTAGCAATATCTTCCATACACATCGAATAGAAGCGCTTCTCCCCTGCGCGTCCCCATTCTTAGCCCCCCCTCCCCCCTTCGAATCTCAACTGCCTTTGTTCTTCGACTCGCTTTCACAGTCATAATCATGAACATTTCAGTACTGGCTCTCCACACCTTTTATCATTGTTCAAAGTCCGCCTCACATATTACATATACTCGTCAGCCACAATATGTGGACAGTCCCTGCCAAACGCCACCGTTGGCACTTTCACTGCCAGGGATATTTTATACATGGTTTATGTATATGATTTCGAGAAGTTGGCAGAATTAAGAAAGGTCAGAGTATTTACTGGAGACATAAGGTGCAAAATATATGTAGGCAAACTGAAAAAAAAATATATATATATTTAAATGGCGCGCCAATCGCGCTGAGCGCCCACGTCGCGTCGGCAGCGGCAGCGTAGCAAAACAAAAGTCGGCGGCGGCGCACCATCGTGATGGCGCAGAGCTGTATATGCTACCCATGGAGGAAGAAAAGACGGTACTTCCTTCCTCCATGATGCTACCTTTAGGTAGCATATACAGAAACTCTAACGGCGCACATCTCAAATGGTTATTTAGGAGCATAAAGTTTTAGTTGAGTTCTGGGATAGCGCATGTAGGAATCCTGTCAAGCCACCCTGTGCGTGTGCCGGCATTAACGCACACATGTTCATACAGGCACTTGTGCGTAGGCCAATTCATTGGTTTTGTGATGCGTATCTCGAAGTTCCTTTTGTTTTGGCGGTTTTAGCTTTAGTTGGTGCTTTAGGTTTTAACAGTGCAATCTTCGCCGTACACAACCAGATGTTTTCCGTGTCTGGTAAGCTGCGAAGGCCGTCGTTGTGGGATTCTGTATCGAACAGCCCTCATTTTGGATTTGGTTTCATTTCCCGTGAAGCTCGTTTCAAATGACCTTGTGTGGTGTAGTGTACTTGTGCTTCAGAGCTTTAAACGAATTTATAAAGCTCGCTGTTTCGTTAGGCCCGCCGTCAGAAAGATTATGCTCGCACAATTGTCACGTTTTTAAAACAGTGTAGAAGACATCGAATACATGCTTCAGTTAGCACAACTTGGGAAGATGGGGTTATGGGACTGAACGTATTCAAACCGACGTATGCCATTTTACGTTGGCGTATGCCGAAACCATGCGCTCTTATAGTAAAGTCACGTTTGTTTATCCGCAGTGTTCAACTAGTACCGAAGCTGTGGTTTCGGCCACTGCCTTCAATGACACATGGAGCCGTGCACTTCTTCAAAAAATGCACTCGTGTTCTCTTCGGCCGCCACTTGGTGGCAACCAATGCAACAATATCGACGGTCATGGGCATTGTCGGTGACCTCGTGCAGCAGCACTACGAAGTTTTGTCCGGCCGCCAAGCTGCAATCAATTCAGTGCGGACATCCCATATGGCAGCAGCTGGTCTGACTACTGGAATGGTGTGTCACTATTGGTGAGAAAAGTGAATTGTTCTACTCCGACTAGCCTTAATGTTATGGCAGCGTATTGAAACAAAAGTTGGAGTGACGTTGTGGTAGGCTAACAAGCTTACATAATTTCTTCGAGTGTTACTTAAATCTGCTTTTACATTTTTAGTATGCACCTTCACTCACCCATTGTGTTTTTTAAAATTTATTTACATGCACAACACACTCCTTATTTTTTTAGAATTGCTGCATGAAAAAAAAGTGTACATTAAGGAACCAACAACTGGGCAGAATGTGGATTAGATTCAGGTAGAAATGTAAATAATGTGAATCATAATAACAGAGTCAGGCGTCGTTTTAATGATTTGAGTAGAATTTTATTTCAAATTGCATTGAAAAGTCACCAACAATTAACATGCCAGGCAGTATAGGAGGGTTGCACGCGACTTCATCTGCTTGAGGCGCTTGCCTCGATGGGCATGTCAGTGGTCTGGGTGCACCCTTTTCAAGCGGCGAGCGGCAATGAGAGGTTGTGTGCGTGCCACTACGTACGGTACTAACATGGTGAAATGAAACTGAGTGCTTATATGTGTGACTTCAGAGGCGAAACTTCGCTACGAACATAAGGCTCACCTTTGCGGCGGATATCGACCCGTTCTACTTCAGTAGCGGTGAAGCTGTGTGTGATGTGAAGTGTTATTTCCGCATCGAGCTTACGGACATTAAGGACCACCTTGTTGGCGGCACGAGCTTCACAGCAAGGAACAAGCTTAAAGCCTATAAATCTATGGACGCCCACATCTATGCGACTAGCGGATGGGTCCAACAGCACTGAGTTAAAGACCTCGGAGACGGCCACCACGTCATCGTCGGAAATGTGACTGGTTCCCCTTGCTCAGTGCGGATGAATAAGTTTTGTCACCCCGGTGCTGTCGTTTCATGAATTCTTTGCTTGGAAGGGCTTCACCATTTGCAAAAGCATGTTAGGCGATACAATTGGCATAGTTCGTATGTGGTTGAGCCCAAGCCGCTTGGGATCGAAAATTCTCTTTGCTGCAGTGTCCAACAACGTGTGTCGAGCACCAGAGATCACATATGGTTTCGATTGTAACTAATTGACGTTAGTGTGATATCACCATTTCTGTGCTTAGCTGACCATTTTTTTAACAGTCAGCGACACAGTGTGCTCTCATCAAAGCATGGGTAAACGAGAACGCACTGCGGCATGCCCGCACTGCGTCGCTGACTGTTTACTAGCATACCAAAATCAGGAACACTCCGCACCTACCTGAATGATACCTATGATAAGCAGGGATCTGCTGCGTAAACAAAGCTTCATAGCACGTCGCCAAAATCTTAAGTTTTTTACCACAAAAGCAAACCTATATGATGTCGTATAGGTTCTGAACACTTACCGTAATTCAAGTGTTATACACACACTATATCGCACATGCGATATAGTGTGTGGCTGAGCCATCCAAACCTTCTCAATTGGTTTACAATCACTTTAGTTATGGGAAAAAAGCCGACATGAGACGCATTCTCATGACCAGGCTTCTTACTCAAGTGGTTGTAGCAACCAAATACGGCACAGTTAACCATTATTACCGCAGGAATCTCGCACGGATTTCTGTGTCTGTTGGACACCCGTGAGTGTACGGTCTGCATTTTCTTGCCAGTGGTGGCAAGGAGAGAGACCACAAAGATGGATACGCTGCCTCTTCGACGCTGGCGCCATCTCGTGGTCGACACACCTGTGCAACCCTCCTATAGCATTAAAGCTTTGATGGTTCACTATGGAGTCTTTCTGCTCGCTGTATCTAGTCTGATGCTTTATGCACACATTATTAGTACTCTAAATTAGAGTACATATATTATCCATTATTGCTTTGTTCTGTGCTGTGCATAAACCAAGTGTACACTAAGAAGTGGTGCAGCCTTTGTTACAACCAGTATACGTTCAGCCGTTGTGCATGTGTGCCACAGTGCACAAGCGTGAACAGCTGTAGTGCTCACCTCCCATTGTTGGCAGCATGTGTTGTCTGAAACTTTGCTGTTGCCACTGGCCAAAAAGTTCTGGTAATAAATAGTTCACAGTGTTTTCTGCATTACCATTGTGTGATTAGGTGCTTTGACCATTAAGCTTTATGTTACATGAAAGAATACAAGTATCATAAAATTGATTTTCAGTCACTTCAAGCCTTTTCAAGTTCCCTGCCACAATGGCCTAGCGGCTAAGGTACTCTGCTGCTGACCCGCAGGTCGCGGGATCGAATCCCAGCTGCGGCGGCTACATTTTCGATAGAGGCGAAAATGCTGTTGGGCCCGTGTGGTTACATTGAGGTACACGTTAAATAACCCCTGGGGGTCAAAATTTCTGAAGCCCTCCACTACGACGTCGCTCATAATCATATGGTGGTTTTGGACATTAAACCCCACATATCAATCAAGCCTTTTCAAGGTCTGAAAAAGGAAGAGCAGTAGGCATATCTGCAAAAAAAAAATTCATTATAAAAAATGCATTATTGTATAGACACAGTATGCATTTGGATTAGAATATGCAGTAATGAAAAAAAAATGTCTACAAATATGCAATGAAGTCATTTCAGCCACTCTATCAATACTTAATCAATCAACTTGTCTGCTGTTTGCAGGTACGTCTTACTCGACCGATGGATGTTGGGACGGTCTGTGCGCACGGTATTGCTCAAGGTGCTCTATGACCAAGTAGTCTTTTCGCCCATCAATTTGGTTGTCTACTTTGGCACTGTGGGTTTGCTAGAGCGTTCAAGCTGTGCTGAACTAAGCCATGAGCTCTGGTTCAAAGGTGGTACTGTTTATAAAGTAGAATGGGTAGTATGGCCACCAGCACAGTTTCTAAACTTTTATGTGCTTCCTCTGAGGTATCGAGTCTTTTTTGACAATCTTATTTCCTTTGGTTTTGATGTATACCTACCATATGTCAAATATAAGGGCCACATGTCTCACGCCAACCATAGCTGAATGCATTCGTTGTAAACTACTGTTGTCACTTGAAAATGCAAAAGCAGTAACAAAAGAAAACAAAGGTGCTAAAGAGACATTGAAAATGTATTTTGTTACTTTGGCCTGACAGTTGCACTAAATCTATGATATACTGAGCAGAGGTGCACACTTTTACATGGAAGTTCACTGTAGTTTTTTACTGTAGTAGATTTCAGAAATAGTGTGTGAAGTATTTTAAAACACTATATTGAATTTTCATAGTCATTGTTTACCATCTAGATGTCTTGTTCAATACCCCATGTGTCTTATTTGGCCCATTTATTCTAAGATACCAGCTTTAACCTGGTACAGTTGATAAAACAATACATTGTCCTAGCTGCTAACAACAGGGAATTCATAAAAATTGCTGCTTTCATAAATGATGCTAGATCATTTGTTTTTAACTTGAGATAACAAATTATCAGTAATTGTTTGGCCACTTGCTCTCCATCATGTGGTAGCTGTGATGACTGAGAAACCTGGAAAGCAATTGCAGAGCACCATTATGGTTCCCGACACCAGTGCACGTCAAATGGCGCACGCAGCAGAAAAGCCTTGTGTGCACAATGTTGTCGTATGCCGTTTTTAAAGCAACACTAAAATGAAACACTAAATTAGTTTACACTGATGAATTGAACTTTGAAATCTTTAGCATCATTAATGTTACCACCATAGGCCTATAATTACATCAAAAAATTGACGTTAAAATTTTACTTTTAAGTTTCCCATCACAATTTCTGATTGCGAGGTCCTGGATTTTAAAGTTTTCAATATTTGGCCACATTGGTTTAATGAAATTTACTGAAACTTGGCATGTTAGGTCTCTGGCACCCACAAAGACAATCTACTCCATTTTTACCAGTTAGGAACCATGGATGTTCTAGTCCGCATCATCAAAATGACATCATAGTGATTGGTTCAGAAACATTCAAGTGGCGTCGCTGCCCTCATTTTTTGTTTTTTTACTCACCAAATGTCTTCTCTTGGCAGAAGTGGTGATTATGATATTATGAGGATACTTTACTAATAGAATACTAATTGTTTTTTCATTTAGTATTCTTTTAAACAATGGATTTGCCTACATAACCCATGATTAGCAGACTATCAACTGATGAGGCCATGTCAGCCTGAATATTGCATAGTAGTTTTGAATACGAACCGTCTACATTGTTGGGTATGGGAGCTATCACTGAGAAAGAATCTAACATATGGCCACACAGTGCGGGCGGCTGTAATGAAAGTACTGCCAGACACCAGCATGGTGTTGTGTGAATAGCCTAGGATGGCCGAGTCTATAGTTCAGGATCACAGTGGTTTTATTCAACATTATTATAAGAGGGAGCTATAAGGAATGGTGCAAGAGATTTAGGGCAAACAAGTTCAAGTTGTCGTTGTGACCTCAAATACTTCATGCATGAACTATTTGGTAACACGATTTTTTGCCATTCCGCAAAACCTTTGCACACTTTCTGTCATCTGAGGAAGCATTATAAGCCTACAATAAGCCAGTAGGCTTGTATGATTGAACACACAGAGATGGGGTCACCTCAGTTGTTTTGAATGTACCACCATCTTAAATGGCTCGTGAAAAAAAAAAACAAGTTTTTAAGTGCAGTAGAGTTTCGGTAGTCTCACTTTATAAAAGTACATAGTGTTTCCTTTTATCCATCAAGCTGATTTGACCTCATGAATTGTCATTTAGAAATTCATTCATTTCTGGAAAAAACTTGTTATAAAATTTTCAGTGTGAAACTTTGCTAAAAGGAAGATAAGGTCATAGTTACATTGTGCTTATCTGATATGCTGGGTACATTATGGTACATTCTTAAAGGTCACATCTTGTTGAACCTAAAAAGGGGCACCGACATCGAAACATTTGTTTTGGGACTTCGATACTTTGATGTGTGACTGGTAATCACAAAATTGAATCGTAAAAGCTAAAGTGCAGCATAATTAACATGACTTATGTTAATTATAAATTTTTGTGTAACCTTGAAACGCCCTTCAAGAATCATAAGAAACTAGTGCCCTGTCAGGACAGCACTGTAAGATCACGTGCGTGCAAACTTGGCAACTTAAAGGCCATGCTTTTTGGATTGGGTAAATCCACGTTCTGAAAGGAATAAAACAACATGGGCACTGCCGTGTCAGCCAGGGTGTGCTACCACAGCAACGTTGTGCTGCTGAATCTTCTGCCTACAGTAGCACATCTACCATAAAATAACACATAATTCACTCGCCTGCCCATCCCCTCTCCCCACTTCGTGGTTCTAAGAGTGCTCCCCTCCTGAAAAAATAAATTTCTTGCTATGCCACTTGAAACATCTCTGGCATAACCTGCACAACAGCCTAGAGGTCTGCCTGACTAGAGAACTAGGCAGGGGCATGACAAGGCACCCATTGTTTGACAGTACAGGTAGTGCTGTTTGAACCTCCAAACTTGTGTGTGCAATGTCAGCAGTACTTGCACTTGGAATGGGTGAAACATCAGAAGGAGCCAGAGTAGTCACTACATGCATCATATCGATGATAACGTCGGGAGATGCCGCCTACCGAGGCGAGCACTCGTACTTACTGTATAAAATATTCCTATGCATGAGAAGAATGTATCAACACAAATGTCTCGAGTCTGAAATTTTGGTGTCAGTGGTTCTTTCATTGTTCATTACATGCTGAGATCTTCCATGAAGGCATGCAGCAGGCTCCTGTATGAACAGATGTGTGATCAGCACTTCACACGAAAGCCTTTTGTGTGATAAATGTAGATAAATTCTGCCTCTCACTTTTATTTAATATTTGGTTGTTCTTTTTCAGAGTTGACTGTAGTATATGGTAACATATTCTCAGATATAGCCTTCTAATGACTGTTAAATGATCTACTGTAACAAAATGGCAGCATTTTAAACATTTCTTTAGAATGCAATATATTCATGTGGCTGGGATTGTATAATTTCATTTTTCCAGATACAAAACACCAAAACTACTGATAGGTGCGATAAATACATAGCATAAAATTATGGATTGATGTAAACTTCATAGTAGGAGAGTGTTTCATCATAAAATGGTGTTGTCAACTCACAGTTGTAATGCTCGTGTTGTGTACGTGGTGTGTTGAAATTCATGTATTAATGTAAAGCGTAATGTTGACAGCCAGTACATGTATTGAAAGATGATTTTAGTGTCATATGGAATAGTACTATTCCACTATAAAAAGTGCCTTGCAATAAGAGCTGTGTAACCAGAGCTGATACTGGTACCTGTTCTGTATTGTGCCTACGAATATGTGAATAGTTATTTTTTTCTGTAGATACATATATTTATACGTACTGTTGTTTCTTGTTGACATTTATATTCTGTTGGTAGAATCTCGATGATACGAATTCGAAAAGAGCACGCAAAATATTCGTATCATACTGAATTCGTATCAACCAAAAACAAGTTAAAGCTGATATTGAATATGAACAAGAATGTTATTGGCAACTACTTTTTGCTGAAAATGTTCATGATGTTCTTTTGAACTTTCCTGCTTTCACCGTCACTCAATAAAGTGCCGTGGTTTCCTCACTTGTGCTGCTGGTGCGGCGCGTTCACATTTGACATCAAAGGGAGGGAAAGCGGCTAAACTCATTGTAAATTCACTTGCTTCACTACTTAAGCAACTTGAAAACTGAGCCACGAAGTGGACATGAAAGTAATCGGTCCTCGAGAATTCACACTAGGGAATTCAAGCGAAAACGCCAGAGCAGCCGGAAAATCACGCCCGTGCCCATCGATAACGTTCACATCAGTTCTGCCCCTCGTACAGTGTCAATTTAAATGAAAGGGAACACGGGGAGTGCGTGGTGCGTGGCCTGCTTGCTCGGGTGGCTGCTGGCAGCAGGTTCAAGCAAGAGTGAAAGCAACCACAGCGTTTTTTCGAGTCATCTTGAGGCGAGAAAAACAAGGAGTCATTGGTGATATGAAACCAGATGCAAGATTTTAACGCCCTCCCTCTTAAGCGATTACCGGTCTTTTGCACAATCTTTTTGAATGGAGGCGTTACAGTCTTGCTGCTGGTTTCATATCGGTATCACCAGTGACTGCTTGTTTTGCTCACTGCGAGATGATGTGAAAAGAGACTGTGGTTTGTCTCAATCCCGCTTAAATGCGCTGGCAGCAGCCGCTGGAGCACGCAGGCCATGCACTCCCGTGTTTCCTTTCATAAAAATTTGCAGTGTACATGCCACCACTGCCGCCGTCGATTGACTATTCATTCCATTTTACCCGTTTCCTGAGCATTGAAGTTTGTACCGAGTTCTAGTTATGCGTGCAAAGCACTGAAAAGAAAGAGTTTACACCTTTACAAACATTGTTTCGGAAAATACGGCAGCCGAAACGACGCGAGCGGACGCAGCAGCAGCGATGAATTCAGCTGGCAGTGTAAACGCGAGACGCTTTAGGGCATGCCGACTCACTGTTGCTGCACCTTCTTCTACATCCGGTGTTTTCAGCTATCGTAATCGAAACCAAGCTCTTGAACACATCCTTGTCAAGGCCGTGAATTTTGACGTGCTGCGCAGGTAGTTCGCGATAGCGCCGACGCCATCCATTGCTGATGCCTCCGCCGCCATATGTTGAATTAGAAGCTGGTTCTGGTTGTTTACATCACATGGTTTGAAAGCTAGAGCAGCCAGTGTAGCCAAAGCCTTGAAGCAAAAAGGCGATCTGTTATCGCATGGCTGAAAAATTGGTCTCGGACTGATTTTTTCGCGCTGGCCTTGTGGCGTTTTTTCAGCTTCTAAAGTAAGGAAAATTCCGTCAAGTTTTCCCGCATTCACTCACGTTGAAGCCAAGAGTGAATAGGCCTTCCTCCCACAGACAAGCCGCGTTGTGCCGCTGGCGTGCAGCAGTCAATCACACATGTGTATTATCCGCGGTGGCTGTAGAAACCGTTTGTATAACACCGAATCCTGGTGCATTTTATATAATGTAGTCAATTCAAGACAACCTTAAAATTTGTATCATGCAATCTGCATCAACCATAGTCATATGATTTATATTCTACTACTAATAAGCACTTAAGATGCACTGTTGAGAAAAATGATAGAATCTATGCAGACATGTTTTTGTTTTGCTTTGTTTGATATTTATGTGAACAGTATACATGTGCGTGAGTAACAGAAAATGCTGCTGCAAGTACCATTAGCACTCTCCAGCATTTTCAATGTGTGTAACCAGGTCTTTATTACTGAAAATAGTTGAATACAGCAGCAATACACAGTGAAAGCTCATTAATTAGACACCTGTTCATCCAGCAAATCGGATAATTTGGATGTCATCTCCGGTCCTGGGAAGCGTATGCATTGTTTAATGGCATCAAAAGCTCATTAAGTTGGTCACATTTGATGGCAACATGGTTAATTCAGGCGATTGTCCGAGTGCATAGAGCACGAAGCGATGCAGCTTGAATCGGCATTGCCATTGTCGCAAACCTTGCAGTAAGGCCGGTTCTCGTTTATTTCGGGTCAGCATTTTTCAGATTAGTTAAGACTTGGAGGTTTGGAGCCATGTTCATATTGTAAAAATATTCAGAAGTGGAGAAAATAGAGACTGCTTCACACGAAGTAGTTACAGTATTTGCGTATTCATCAAGAAAATACGTACTCTGAAGTGGCAAAAATCGCACTGTTTCGTGCAAAGTAGTTACAGGATCTAAGTATTCATCAAGAAAATGAAAGTATATTTTGTTTGTTTCCTTGATACTTTCGAATATCTGGTCGATTCAGACATTTTTTTCTAGTCCAGTGAAATGGAAATAATGAGACTTTAGTATTTTGCTTTAAGCAGTGAATGTTTACAGGCATCACACCCTTGAAGTTTGCCGGGTGGGGAGGCCCACCCAGGTTGTTGTGGGATTCTTGAAGCCTTTGGCAATGAACAGGTATATTGCACTGAGATAACCATTTATTAGATATAGTGAAGCAAGTTTAACGTTTCGATATTCACGCATTATTTCAATCAGTATACTGCTACTGACAATGACACAGGAAATGTGGTACCAGAGGTTATGTCAGTTATACCAATGCAAATATTCATTCAGTTGTTGCTGAAGGCATATATTCTGGTAGTAAATTATCAAATACTCAGCAGACGCAGCATGATATGGTAAGTTCCAAGTGCATATGCATCTTTTGGCCACTAACCGGGGGGCACATCTCAAGTGACTAACATTCCATGGCAGCATAAAGCCATCATCACTTGGTATTTTCGAATGATTTTTGTGTAAGTACCGTATTTAGTTAAATGCAACTAGTTTTTTCTTCTATGTTTATGCTATCTGGAGTCAACTCTCCTGTTGTAGTTTAATACTGAAATTGTGATTGTCTAGAAATTGCAATTTTTTATTTTTCTCTTTGAACACCTAAGAAAAGTCGCCCCTCGCGTTACAACTATGGTGGCATTACAATCAAGTGAATACGGTACTGAATGAAGTTTATCTAAACTTGATTCAATCTCAAAATAAATTACTGGAAGGGAGGAGTCTTGTATAACTCTTGAGTCCCCCCTCCACATGTTTACAATAGCTTATCAATTTTAATGCTACTCCTCCTCACTCTTCCTGAAAGTTAAACATTACCATGATGTAAAACATTCTGTACATTAAAACAGACAATCTGTCACCAGACTGTGCAATGCTGCTAGCTAGGTACGGAAAGGTGCATTTATGTGAATCATAATGGACTAGTGTAACATCCAATTCATCATAGCATGCTTTTACCACAATCAGCAGTGTGTCTGACTTGTTCTTGCACAGGCAGTCAATCTCCTGGATGAAAGAAAGCAAATCAGTAAATAGGTATTATGTAGGCACCACTTCTAGTGTTTTATTATGTAAACAAAACAAAAGACGGATTTTTAGATAGCGTGGCTGCAGCATAATTTATCTACTCTTGTTTTATGTTGTTTGCCATAGAAAACAGCTAGCTTTTGTCACACTTTCACCGGAAATCCTGATACTGTATTTGTAGGTTTACACCTCTTGGAATCTGGGTCTGGTGTCATGTAAAGCCAACATATGATCTGCTCTAACATAGAGTGGCAATAAGAGAATTTGTGTGACGTGAAGCACTGTGTGCGGGTATATACAGGACACTGAAGTGACTTCATTCTCAATGCCGGCTTCTTGTGCCTGTTGTAAAATAAATTTTCAGAATAAATATTTTTAAATAAAAAAACGAGTTTTACTGTATGCCTCTTTCACGGAGGTGCGTGTTGTGGGGAGGAAAGAAAATGCTGTTGAACCCTGAGCACGCACACCTACGACCATGCTCAGTGTAATGACCGACGCCCCTTCTGCTTCTCGATTGCGCTAGTGCAACGCGTGTATACCGTAGTTTTCTTTTCCTTTATTGAATTAATTTTATTGTTTATGGTGCATGTATACATCTGAATTCGGTGTCGTGGCCAGGTGACTTCGTTTGCAATGGAGCATATGGCGTTAGTGCGTTCTCACAGCGCATACATGCCATCCTGGGTGGCGCGTCCATTGCGTAGTATCTTGCGTCGCTGACCACTGGGTCTTGTACTCGATGAAAGCTGTGAGTGATATCGATGCGTGCGGTGTGGTATTGCACAGCGGCAACGAGCTGCTGCACCCTTGTGCGTGGTGACCCGGTTACGACGGCTGGCTGGATCGTCACTGTTGGATGCGATCCCGGCCGCGAGCGTCACTCGGAGTGTTGAAACGTGCCTGGGGAGAGCCCCCTCTCGAGCCCCGGCGTCCGTTCATTTTTCTCCTGTGCCTCGCGCATTTTCTTCTGGATGTAGTTCGGGATGCCCACCACCAGGAAGATCAAGAAGAAGCAGCCGAGCCAGATACCCACCACCTGCGTAATCGCGACCCACCAACACGGTGGGGTAAAAGAAATGTGTGCATACTATAGGAACTGAGAACTGCGCCGCCGCGACGATGCGAGACTGCCGTCAAATCGCTGGACAAAAATTACAGCATCTCCCACTACAGTGAACTTTGTGTGGCGCTGCGCTGGAGAGAAACCTGGGGTGGCGGAAAGTGCGCAGCGATGGGTTGCTGTTTCTTATATGCTGGAACATGCCAATCGCTGCTAATGGGGAATGAGAGACAGAAGACGCTGACTGAACACAGACACCCGCAGTCCGCTTTTAGTCAACGCGCACGCTGCAAATTTTTATTGTTCAACAACGCACAGGATAAATCTCCCACTGGCACTATCATAGAGGTCAAGATATGGGGGGACCAGTGAGTGGTTGTGCAGCGCGAGCATGTCGGTTTTTTCAATCAAGAAATTCGCTAGCAGACGCTGCGTGCGTCGGCGAGAGATGAACGGAGCATTGAAGAGAAGGGGAAATGGGCGCACAGTGGGCATGTTAAAGGGGCCGTGCAACACTTTTTGAGCATGGTCAAAAAACGTTGCCTCTCAACAGTAGAGGCTCCCGAGAACACGGCAGCCAAACATAGCACAGTGCGCAGCCTGGGATTCACAATAAATGATCAGAGTCATCCAAAAATTGCTTTCGCTTCTCTCGAGAAATGGTGGAAGACGCTCAA